TAGGGAGGGGTCAGGGTTAGGGTTAGGGAGGGGTCAGGGGTTAGGGAGGGGTCAGGGGTCAGGGGGAACCACCAAACATCCACCAGCAGCCCTTACAGCTGCAGGTGACCGGCTTTAGATTAGCTCTTTTTAACGTTTAACTATGTGTCGGCTGACCCCTTTAAAGGTCAGATTTGACCCTGAGTGTCCCTTTTTCCAAAATAAAAGCTGTCCCTTTTTCCAAAATAAAAGTTTGCCTCTGTTGACTGATTGCAAACAGCAGCAGAATCTGACCAATCACAGCTCGGCTCCTCCCTTTGGGCCCCTGGAGGCTCCACCCTGATTGGTCCACAGCAGATCTGGGCCATGCGTGGTGCGTTCAGGGCCGTGGGGGAAGTGAGCGCTGCGCCTGGGGGTCCAGAACCGGCTGAACTGGACCGGAGTCAGACCGGTTTGATCCAGTTTTAATGTTTTATCAGTGGTAGCAGGGGGGGGGTTCTGGTGCCACCTCCTACTGCCCCTGTGCTACATGAGCCAATGAGATTTGAGGAGCCTGAAAAGCTCCTAACCCTAACCCAGGGGGAGTTTCCCCCACCAGCACAGTCCAGCAGAAAACAGACCCGTCCTCTGGACGCCCAGCTGCAGGACGCTGGCGTTGTCCACCCTCAGGACAGAGCCAGCATGGCTGGAGGAAGTCCACTTCACTTCTCTGTTGTTTTTCTATCTATTTCTGTCTGTCTCAATAAAGTTTAATCATTTTATTCGAGCCAAGAACAGCCTTGATGTTTTCATTTCCTTTCTTGAATACCAGGACAGTGGGTGCCACCTATTGAATGTGATTGTTCAAACTAAAGCCAAAATTACTTAGAGACTCATTTTACATTTATTCAAAAAATCCAACACTCTTTGCTCAAATCTTTTTTAGGACCCCAGGAGCTGCTCAGGCTGAACAAACAGCTTTTTTACAATTAAAGCCAGGGTTCAGCTTCTTGTTGGTGTAGAGATCTGAGTCCTGCAGTCTTCAGACACTAAGGAGCTTTCTGCTGCAGTTCTGCAGCTCTTCTGGCTAAAGATGGAGCAGAATGAGTTAAGACTGAGTGGATGAGACCAGTTCCAGCTCTCTGCTCTCTGCATGAGTTCTCTGTCAGCAGAGGAGAGGGGGAGTCCTGCAGGTTAGTCTCCCTATCCCCCCTCCCCCCATTTATCCTTTAAAAATCAGTAGAGTTAACGATCCAAACAGAATCTGCATTGATAGATAGATAGATAGATAGATAGATAGATAGATAGATAGATAGACAGACACATAGATAGCCCTGTATAAGAATGATTAAAAAAGAGAATAAATCAAATCTGACAGTGTAATAACATGTTGCATAATAAAAAGATAGTTCTCAAAAATGATGAAATAGTGCGCTGCTTAATTGAATAACTGTGGACTAAGGATTACTTACAGTTCGAAAAAGTTATTGACGTTTATTAAGTCCTCAAATATATATCTACGTGCCTAATCTAACCTGTTACCTATTGCGTGTCAATCATGTCATTCCTGTTTTGGGTTTGGTTGTTAAAATTCACCAGCCAATCAGAGGGCAGTCTCTTTGAAGGGGCGGGCTTAGTGGGCAGGTGCCGAGTAGAGCTGAGCGCCAATTTCAGAGTTAGAAACGGAGGGACAGGAGGAAAGGCGGTGTGAGGAGCATGTAAGTTTTACGTTGGACGTCCTGATATACTTTTGTGTGACTTGCGATGTGAATAAGATGTGTATGCCTGTATTTTGTACTGTAATGTTCATAGTTTAGGGAAACTGTGTAAGACGGTTAGCGACTTGCTAATTAGCTGTAGCATTTGGTTCTATTGGACCTGTATGTCATAGCTGTAGCATTGTGATAATTTTGAAGCTAAAGCAAGTTAATGCTAATTCAAAATGAAATAGTGTTGATACTTTGGCTCACTTTGAATTTTTTTAAGGAGGCAGCCACTAGATAGAGAGCCCTGTGAAAAAAATATTAAAGCAAAGAA